ATATATATATTTAAAAGGAAAACTTTTAAGTTAGAGAGAAGTGCATATGGAAGGGCCTATAGATTAGATGATGATAATAATATTTGGAACTTCCTGTTGGTGAGACATCATTCTAAGTTTATTTGTACTCGATTGTTTAACCCTCTCTACTATCCTTTGATGTAGAAACTGTTATTATCCCCATTTTACAGATGGGCAAACTGAGGCTCAAAGTGGCTAAGTGGCTTGCACAGGTCATTTAGTAACAGAGTGGGATTTGAACACAGGCAGTCTAGTTTTAGAGGCATGTTTAAGAATGAGAAGTGAATAGAAAAGGCATGGTGGTAAGACTGGGCTTGACTTGAATGATAGGCAGGCACATTAGACATTGACACAGTTGGTCCATAGTAGACAGGCAATCTTACATCAGAGGAAGGTGAGTGAACATTGAGGTGAAGGTCCCTGTCAGTCCCCAACTCCCTTGTACTAGGAATCAGTGTCTCACACAGAGAGGACAAGCCCTCTACTACAGAGCTATATCCTCAGCTTATTTTGTTTTGCTACTGGGAATTGAACCCAAATTCTTTTTTTTTTTTTAAGAGAGAGGAGAGAGAGAGAGAGAGAGAGAATTTTTTAATATTTACTTTTTAGTTCTCAGCGGATACAACATCTTTATTGGTATGTGGTGCTGAAGATCGAACTCCGGCCGCACGCATGCCAGGGCCGAACCCAAATTCTTGCACATGCTAGAGAAGCACTCTGCCACTGAGCTGTATCCCCATCCATTTTTATTTTATTTTTAAATTTTGAGACATCTTGCTAAATTGCCCAGGATCAGGCTGGCCTTGAACTTCTAAATCCTCCTCCGTCAGCCTCCTGAATGGGCCCTTTTTGTTTTTATTTTGAGACAGGGGCTCAATAAATTGCTTAGTATCTTGCCAAGTTGCTGAGGCTGGCCTTGAACTCATGATCCACTTGCTTTGGTTTCCTAAGTTGCAGGGATTACAGGTGTGTGCCATTGCACCCAGCTACTCTGTGTATTTTTAACAGTGAAAAGCCCAGAGCAGGTAATGGCAGTCAGGATTAAGGAGGAGAAGCAAGAATATGCCTGTAGCCCAATATATTTGTGTAAATGTGTGGTGTGATTCCTAAATGTGTTTTAGATCTGCTGACCTCAGTGGGCTCAAATAAGAACTTTAGCCAAAGTCAGAAGTGACGGGAATAACCAACAAATTCATATATTGTGATTTATGTGTGTGAGTATGTGTGTGAATGTGTGTGTGTCTATTTCAGAGGCTAGTTTTTAGTTTAATTAGACGCTGCTTGTTATTTGGGTGGTGTCACAGTTTGGGTTTCCCAGGAAGCTGACTCTGAGATATCAATTATCATTCAAGACATTTATTAGGGAGTGCTCTTAGGATCCACACCTATGGAAAGGAAGGGAAGGAAGCAAAATTGGACAGAGGAGAAACTGAGTTTTGCTGTAGTTTCAAGGAGACTTCAGTCTACTCCACAGGGAGCTTTGGAGCAAGACATCAGTAATGCCTCGGGTTGGGGATTTGGGTGATAGAACCAGGGCTTTACGCTGCCCCTGCCTCTATGGTAAGAGGCAGGTTGGACAAGGCTGTGTTCTGGCTATCCTCAAAGGCTCGGAGTCGTCTTTTGGCAGCACTCCCAGCAGCTGGGGCAATAAGTCCTTCATTCCTTTCTTTTTCTTTTCTTTAATATACTGGGAATTGAACCCAGGGGCACTTTACCCCACTGAGCTGTTTTTATTTTTTATTTTGAGACAGAGTCTTACTTAGTTACCCAGGCTAGCCTTGAACTTGCAATCTTCCTGCCTCATTCTTCCTAGTCACTGGGATCACATGTCAGTACCTGGCAAAAATGTGCAAAGATAAAGAAAGATTTATTTGAATTTAAAAGATATGCTTGCATTGCACATTGTTATGAATTTATCTAAGAAGCCAGAGCTCTAAGGCGTAGTTGGTAAATTTGAGCTTTGAAAATGTGAATGACGGTCATTGTAGAAGTGGCAATTTGTGCCCCTTTTGTGAACCTGACCGCCTCCCCCCATGGATTATTAGCTTCCTTATTCCTTACTTCTTCCACCTGCATCCTATACCACCTTTTCTTTCTCCATTTGATTAGTAGGAGGTTCTAAGGAGGTCCTGTGAGCCCAGATCTAGCCCCAGCTTCATCTCAGCATGGGCTGTGTGATTTTAGGTTTCTTGTAATCTCTCAGTTCCTTGTGTAAAATTGGAATAATAGTACTTGTCCTGCCCATATATCATGCTTATTTCAAGGATCAAACGATGGCAATATATCTGAAAACACTTTAAAAGCACCCAATGCTCTACAAATGTCAAGTATTATTATTATCCTCATTATTGCTCCTCCCTACCCCTCCCTACCTCGCCTCCAGCTTGCTGGCTTCCTTCCAGGATTGTCTTGACAAGTGGCTGCGATCCTTTGTGGAGGAGCTTCCTCTGAACCATGAAATGTCATTCTGGAAGCTGCCCTTGGACTAGTAGGAATTTAATTATATTATGGGGAGTTCCAGAGGGAACCATTCAAAGAAAGAAAGAAATTGCATTTGAAAGAAATGCTTTATTTCCATTGATAGAAGAAGTATTGGCCTATAAACACTCGCACACATACACATATATTGAAAGAAGATTTTTGGGAAATTGGTCAAAGGATATAAGAGCTGAGCTGGGAGGAACTCAGCCCCATCAACTGGGTCTGTTCTTCCCTCTCCCTGGTGTTCTCTCCCTTTCTGATGGGGCCTGTTTCTTTCCTTCTCAGGTCCCCTGGTGCTGGGCAAGGGTACAGTACACATATCTGAACCGGAAATTCGAGTTCCCGAGAATAACCGTGAGTGGGGCTGGGCTGTGGGGGGTGGGCAGGGAGGGTGTAAATATGAACAGGTATCAGATCCCCAGGGGCCAGGAGAACAGGTAGCCCAGACTGTGGTTTGGGGTTGTTACCTACCTTCTACATGTTGAGACTCCCTCCTCCTCTCATTTTGGTTCTGTCTTGCAGCGGTCAAGTTGCCCTGCTCCTACTCTGGCTTCTCTTCTCCCCGTGTGGAGTGGAAGTTTGTCCAGGGTGACACCACCAGTTTGGTTTGCTATAACAACAAGATCACGGGTGAGTTGTTCCACCTCCTTCCTGATTACTGAGGTTGTGGAACAGTTGGCCCTGGCCTGGATTCCACGGGTGGGATACACCCTGAGGCCTTCCCATTCCTCTTTCAGGAAGAAGAAGGTGCCTGTGTACCTTGTGTATCAGCTTCTCTTAGCTTCTGTTCACTCTGTCTGCCTCTGTTCCCTTCTCCTGGTAGCTTCCTATGAGGACCGTGTTACCTTCTCACCATCTGGCATCACCTTCCAATCTGTGACCCGGAAAGACAATGGGATGTATACATGTATGGTCTCTGAGGAAGGTGGCAACAATTATGGGGAGGCCAGCATCCAGCTTATTGTGATTGGTATGTGTCTTCCACGTGGGCCTGGAATTAATGCTTCCTTAACCTCTAGCAGACTCTAAGATTGTGAGAGGCCTGTGGTTAGGGGTATTCAGAGTCATTATGCTAACAAGGGGAGGGATGAGGGGTTAGGTGGAAACCAGGGCATAATTGAGGGCAGCTATAGCTTATTGGATGGGGGTGTCATTATGATCTATTAATTATACTCAGCCAGCCCTGTGTTCAGTGCCTTCCCCCCACTTTTTTTGGATCGTCCATTCCTATCTTGGATTCAGTATAATTTCTTTTCTTTTCTTTTTTTTTTTTTTTGGTACTGGGGCTCTTAACCACTGAGCCACATCCCTAGCCCCCTCCCCCCCTTTTTTGGGTACTGGGGATTGAAATCAGGGACCCTCGACCACTAAGCCACATCCTATGGGGGCCATGCCTGAGCTATTTGAATAGTCTCTACTCAGCCTCAAGGAGATTTTGGTCTGGCATTGCAAGTAATTTTGTGGCTTTTAGCAAAGCACGAGATGACCTCAGTCTTCAGTCTTCACCCAGCTGGAGAGGCTGCTCTGTAGCTTTGTACTTGGGCATTACCCATTGGGCCACAGCCCTCCTACCTTATTTGGCAAAAGAACATTCCACTGAAATCCTTTGAATCCCCCTTGTATAAATAAAGCAAATGCGGGCTCTTTGCTCTCTTTCCTTCCAGTGTGAAAGCTGGACCTCTAAGGTCACAGAGCTGCCTCACCCTTGTTTTTCAAAATTGTTTCTGTGTCGTGTAATTTTTCTCCATATTTCTCAGCCAGCACATTTCATGCAAGGGAAACCCAAAATTCATAGCCCACAGAGGACAGGGGAGAGAAAAAAGGGGCTGGAAATGGCTCACTTGGAAGAGTGTTTGCCTCACATACATAATAAGGCCCTGGGTTCAGTCCTCAGCACCACCAAAAAAAAAGAGAAAAAAAAAAGAATTATGACATCCCCACCCAATTTTGAATTTTATTTAGAGACCAGGGTCTCACTGAGTTGCTTAGCGCTCACTTTTGCTGAGGCAGGCTTTGACCTCGAGATCCTCCTGCCTCAGCCTCCCCTGGGATTGTAAGCATGTGTCACCATGCCTGGCTTTGATATGCATAATTTCTTTTCTTTCTTTATTATTTTTTATGGTGATAATGGGGATTGAGTCCTGGTGTGCTAAACTACTGAGCCACATCCCCAGCATCCCCCCTCCTTTTTAAAATTTTTTTACTTTGAGACAGGGTCTTGCAAAGTTGATGAGGCTGACCTTGAACTTGATCCTCCTGCCTCAGTCTTCCGAGTTGCTGGGATTACATGCGTGCGCCTCTGTAATAAATTTCAATGCCTTTTTTCCTTCTCTCCCTCCCCAGTGCCTCCATCTAAGCCTACAGTCAACATTCCCTCCTCTGCTACCATTGGAAACCGGGCAGTACTGACCTGCTCAGAACAAGATGGTTCACCGCCCTCTGAATACATCTGGTTCAAGGATGGGATACAGATGCCTACAGATCCCAAGAACAACCGGGCCTTCATCAATTCTTCCTATACTCTGAATCAGAAGTCAGGGGAGTTGGTATGCATAGGGTGGGAATGAAGATGTGCAGAGAGGGCACTATTACAGAACTGTTGATAGTGGGAAGGAGGAATAAGTAACAAGGTGAACTTGAAGTTTGGATCAGAAGACATAAAAGATCAGTACTTGATTTCTTTAAGTAGGAAGCCAGCTGGACATGGTGGTGCACTCCTGTAATCCCAGCTGCTCCGGAGGCTGAGGCAGGAAGATCTCAGCCTGGGCAGCTTAGTGAGACCTTATCTCAAAAGAAAAAAAAAAGGCTAGGGATGTAGCTCAGTGGTAGAGTGCCCCTGGGCTCAATCCCCAATACTGGGGAGTAGTTGGGGGAAGGTGCAACAAGCCAATTTGTTTTCTTCCCTCTAGGTCTTTGATCCTGTAACGGGCTCTGATACTGGAGAATACAGTTGTCAGGCACAGAATGGGTATGGGACACCCATGAAGTCAGAAGCTGTACGCATGGAAGCCGGTGAGTGAGAACGTGGCAGGGCTTGAGCTCAGATCTAGGCTGCTCTGCATCCTGCCATTGGCAGCCTTGTCACTCTCATGATTGAATGTCCATGTGCCTGACCTCTCCTTTATATGTCACAGTGGAACTGAACGTGGGAGGCATTGTAGCAGCTGTCCTGGTGACACTGATTCTCCTTGGAGTCTTAATTTTTGGCATCTGGTTTGCCTATAGCCGAGGCTACTTTGACAGTAAGTATTTGCTTTCAGAGATTCTCCTTTGCACTGTCCCCAGTCCAGGACACAGTTTGTGGGTACTGATGAAATTCAGACCTTGATACTGTACCCGTGAGTGCTGGGGCTCTCCCCTTCGGAGCATAGATTATTTGCCTAACCTAGATCAAGTGTTGGGTGCCAGTCCCCCACCTTCCTATGCCGTGCTGTATTCTGTCTTGCTAATACTCATGATCTCCTTTTTTCTCTTTCAGGAACAAAGAAAGGGTGAGTGAGTGCTGTCCCAGGGTTCCTCCGAGATTAAGAAAAGGATGCTTGTGGTTTGAAGCCGAGATGTGTCTGGGGGATGGGTTGGAGGTAGAGGTGACCACCTCTCGGAGGGAAGATAATTAGATTTTAGATTTCTTTTTCCTTCTTTCTTCCTTGCCTTTCGCCCCCCTCCTTCCTTCCTTTCTTTTCTCTTTCCTGGGCATCGAACCCAGGGCCTTATGCATGCTAGGCAAGTGTTGCACCCCTGAGCTACATCCTCAGCCTGACAACTGTATTTCTATCCCTGTTCACCCTGGGCTTGTCCTTTCTCCCTCTGCCTACACCTCCCTACCAAGTACTCTGTGCTTCTGCAAAGTCTCAGTTCTGGCCTCTAAAATTGGCACGGAGAGGTTAATGAGCACCTAGGGGACTGAGCGTCTCTACCTTCTGGCTTGTCCACAGGACTTCAAGTAAGAAGGTGATTTACAGCCAGCCTACTGCTAGAAGTGAAGTGAGTATGCCTGCCCTGGGGAGGGGAGGGGTCCCTAGCCTGTGTTTATGTGTCTGGGGGTTTATTAGCTACAGAAGACTATTGAGTTGACCGGATTCTTTATTTCCCTAGGGGGAATTCAAACAGACTTCGTCATTCCTGGTGTGACCTGCCCTGGCTCATCTCCTGTCCTCTGTGCTTGCCCCACTCAGGTGCTGCCAGACTCTGGTCCCTAGTGTCTAGTTTCACAGGATGCCTTATTTGTCTTCTAGACCCCACAGGACACCCCACTTTTATCTTCCTTAGAATGTGATTGTAATAATGTCAGCTACGTGCCCCTTTTTCTTTTCTATCCTCCCTACCTTTCCGACCACTGTTGAGTGGCCTGAGACTTGTATAAATTTTAATTCCCTGTCCTAGCAGGGAGCAGGCATGAATTCTGGGCATGCCTCTGTTGATCTCCTTCGCTAAGTAGACAGCAAGAGTGGCATGGCTTCCAGGAATTCAAAATCACTACCTGGCCTTACTGTCATGGCCTTTGAATAAGGATCTTGAGCCTAACTCCTAGGCTCTCTCCTGCCATAACGAGGACTGGTGCCAGCTGTTCTGGAGTGGGATCTGGAGAGCAGAGAAGCTGAAATGGTTGTTTGGTGACGACGTTCTCTTCCATCTCTGGAGCTCATTCTTCTGTCTTCCCACGAAAAGTGCCACTGGGATCCTCCTCGCTAAATCTTCCTCCTGAACACAAGCAGACTGACACTGTGTCCATAGGAAAGTGGGAGGGCATAGTGAACTTTCAGGGGACTTGGAGCGAAGACTTAAAACCACTGATTGAAAGAAAAGAAGGCTAGAACTTTCTGTGCAAGCCATCACTCTTCCCTCAGCTGGAACAACTGGACAGACTCTTTAAAGATATCTGTAGAGCTGTGAGGATGTGCACGTATTATTTGTCTTGGTTCTTTGCTGAGCGCGCGCGCGCGCGTGTGTGTGTGTGTGTGTGTGTGTGTGTGTGTGTGTGTGTGAGTGAGTGTGGTCTTAGCTATATTTTGAAATCAGGCGGAGTGTTGGAGGGCTTCCTAGCTCTTCTGTGAGATTGTGTTTCTGTATGTTTGCATCAACCAGATGTTTCTGGAAATAAAAACTTGGTTTGTCAAAGCTTCTTTTTGTTGGGAGTGGGAGATATTAGATCTTTCAGGGTCCCTAGGCTCCTTCTTTGTACATAATGGAAAATGGCCTCAAAATCCTACCTCCTAGCACACTGGTGCCAATTCCTTGAGGCCTGTATTGCCTCCCTATGCTGCCTCTTCCTGGTTCTCAATTAAGAGCAGAGCTTCTGGATTTAAGATGATCATTCCAGACCCTTCCGTGGCCAGGACTTCCTGTCCTGGAGGAGAGTACCTAGAGTGAAGCTGATACTGTGCTCCATTGTTCTGCTTGGCCCACTGGGAGGACAAAGTGTCCAGCCTCCTGCCCAACTGGGGATTCATGGGCTTTCCTAAGTCTGTAGGGAAAAAGTGCTGCCTAGAGGGATTTCTCAGATCATTTGGAGAACCCCTTCTCAATAATAGATTAAAGTAGTGACTATTACTTTATTTAGCAAGTGGGATTCAGGAGAAGGTATTCTGAAACAGGAGCAGGAACAAGCAGGGATAGGCCTAGTGATCATCACTTTTCTTCTCCCCATTTGAACCTTTTCTGCCCCCCCCCCAATCTTTATTTTATTAACTAGTAAGAGGGCAAAGAAAGGCTCTCCCAGGTTTTATTTTGCTTATTTCTACCTTCAGATTACACTAAGTGCCACTTTGTCATATTCTGTCTGATGATCGAAAAATCCCTAACAATTACATTTTCTACAAAGGATCTAAAGAGGAAAATTAAGTCATCAGTTAAGGGTCAGGTACCAATAAGAAGAAATTTCCAGAGGAAATAAAATCCAATTAGGCAATAAAAAATTATGAGACAGTTGAGTACATATGGAAATTTTTGAAGTATGTTTCAGTTCTGTGTCGTGGTGGGAGGAGTATAGAGGAAAGGCCTCAGCAAAAGTAGTGATTTCGGGGCTGGGGCTGGGGCTCAGTGGTAGAGCACTTGCCTAGAATGTGTGAGGCCCTGGGTTCGATCCTCAGCACCACATAAAAATAAATGATTAAAATAAAGGCACTATGTCCATCTACAACTAAAAAAATATTTAAACACATACACAAACCTGGTGATTCATGGCTCCTGTAGGTTTGAGGTAAATGTTTCCTGACTTAGTTGTCAGCCTTGGAATTTCTCTCTCCAGCTTACAAAAGTCCTTTGGAATTGAGAAACACTGTGTCTGCTTTCATTTTAGAAATTTAAATCTTATTTTTCTAATAAATGTTTATTTTTTTCATGTCAAGTTTGTTTAAATCCAGATTCTGTTCTACATTAAGAAGAGAATTGTGCTTTTGGAGTAAGTTTGATATTCAGAATCTTCCTGATAGTATTGTTAACTGGGATTGGGGATATCCTTCCACACAACTGGTGGTTAATATTTTAATTAATTATTCTGGTGCTGGGGTTTGAATCCAGGGCCTTGTGCATGTGAGGCAAGCATTTACCTATTGAGCTATATTCCCAGCCCAACATTTTATTTTTAAATTTTATTTATCCCAGTGGCTCAGGAGGCTGAGGCAGGAGAAATGCAAGTTCAAAGCCAACCTCAGCAATTTAGCAAGGTCCAAAGCAATTTAACAGGACCTTGTCTCAAAAAGAAAGGTGCGGGCAGGTGCTGGGGATGTGACTCCATGGTTAAGCCCCTCTGGGTTCAATTCCTGATACAAACAACAACAACAAAGAAACAAAACTGTCCAGTTTTCAAAAACTAAAGGCTTTAAGCAGGTGCAGTGGTTCATGCTGGTAATCCCAGCAATTCCAGAGGCAGGAGAACCACAAGTTGAAGAATACTCTGGGCAACTTAGTGAGACCTTGTTTCAAAATAAAACATGAAAAGGGCTGGGGATGCAGCTCAGTGGTGGAGTGCCCTTGGGTTTAGTCCCCAATACTGCAAATAAAGAAAAAAAAAAAAAGAACAAACAAATGCAGATGCTGGCTCCAGGAAGTCTAAGTTTCCTTTGATGTGATGAGGAGGGAGCAGAGGGGGAGGCACTCTTGGGAAAAGATGACCCCCTCACAGCACATGGATTTCCTGCTTTTAGTCTTACTGTTTCCCCTTTTCTTTTATAAAAGTTGTTATGTGTCCCTGAGCCCCCTGAAGATGGAGATTTGATAGGGTTGGGGATGTAGCTCAGTGGAAAAGTATTTGCCTAAGATATGCAAAGCCTCAAGTTCAATCCCCAGTACAAAAAATAAATAAATAAATAAAATGGGGATTTGAGACGCAAAAAGTCTTCTATTTTACTCTGTACCACCTTTGAATAAAATGTTTTCCTCCATTAACTTCTATATCCTGAGTTTTGTTTGAGTGGAAGCTGCAAAGCTTTTGATTCAGGTAATAGAAAGATACTGTTAGAATATCTAATTATTTGCAATTTCATGAAGTTTGAAGTGGGGTACATGCTGCAATCCAAAAGAAAGGTATTAGGATACTGGTTTTGTTTTGTTTTCATTTAGGAAAGTGGGGGCAGGAATTTTAATAGATAAGTAAAAGTTAATGCAAAGGCACAAAATAGCTGTGAAGAGGACTTTTCTTGCAAACATGTACTACCAGCAGATAGAGCTAGATATCATTCTGGCATCTAAACAATGATGCTAGGTTACTTGCCTGATTTGCTGGCAATTAAGTATGGGGTTAAAAATAACATCACTTATCTGATTGGCAAAAATTCAAAAGCTTGACAATACACTCTATTGGCAAGGCTGTGGGGGAAACAAACAAGTGCTGTCATATATTGTTGGAAGGAAAACAAAAATCTATAACCGATGAAGGGCAATTTGGCAATATCTTAATAAATGTACAATATGCATTTAACATTTGACCTGGCAACCTCATGTCTAGGAATTTACCCTGAAGATATACCCCTACCAATATACATATTGATATGCATATGCACTGCAACATTTATCATTACAAAATATTAGAAACTAAAAATGTTCAAACATAGGAAATTGGTTCAATAAACTATGGTATGTTTTATCAATGAAACACTGTATGACTCTAAAAATAAAAAGAAAGATCTCCACAAACTAATTTGAAATATTTCCCAGGGTATATTGTTAAATGTAAAATAGCAAAGTAACCTGTTTAATAAGAAAAGAGGGGCTGGGTGCAATGATGCATGCCTGCAATCCCAGAGAGGCTAAGACAGGAGGATTGCAAGTTCAAAGCCAGCCTCAGCAACTTAGTGAGATCCTAGGTAATTTAGGGAGACCATGTCTCTACACAACAAACAAACAT